TCGTCGCGGCGGTTACACCGCTGATTACGTTGGTCGCGGTGGTCGCGGGAGTCGTTGCGTCGGTCGTGGCAGTCAAAATTGTCGTTCCGACCACGGTTGCCGCGGTAGTCGTCGCGGTGTGGGGGGTGGTCGGAGCGCGGAACCCTTGCTGCTTCTTCAATAATTATCTTTTTAGCGTCGTCGGCATCCGCATATTTCTTAGCGGTGGTCAGGAGCGCTGTGACCGATTCAGGCCTCTTGCGGAGGAGCTTGTCCCTTAGGGCATCATGGAAGCGGAGGCCAGTGATGAAAGCCTCGATTGCCTCACTGTCGGAGATTGACGGGACCTTGATGCGCATCTCCAAGAAACGCCGAACGTATTCGCGCAGCGGCTCATCTTTCCGATCTCGAATCCGCTACAGATCATATTTGTTGCCGGGTTGCTCGCAAGTAGCAATGAAGTTGTCGATGAAAGCTTGCTTGAGTTCTTGCCAGGAATCGAAGTAGTTTGCTGGCAAGCTGACCAGCCATTGGTGACCTGCATGACCAACAGCGACTGGAAAGTAGTTAGACATGACGTGCTCGTCAGCCATGGCTGATCTGCACGCGGTCTCGTAGAGCATGACCCATAATTCGGGGTTCTCCTTGCCGTCATACTTCTAAAGTTTTTCGAGCTTAAAGTTCTTGGGCCATATGACTTGGCGAAGGTGCGGAGTAAACTGCTTCAAACCCGGCGGGCCATGGGCAGTATCATATTCCATACGGCGATAGCTTTCGTGGGATGCACAATCGTTGGCTCTCTGGTTGATGCGATCGCGCAGATCATGTCCTCCGAGGTAATGGCGGAGATCGTTGTTGCCATCGCGGCGATCTCGGTTGCCATCTAGATTAGCCCTGTGACCATGGTTATCATGGCGATTATCACGGTTGTCTCGGCGGTTGTCATCCCGGATGTTGCGGCGGTTGACCTCTCGATGGCGGTTGTCATCTCGACCACCTTCATGGCCACCGTTTCCGCCTTGACGGTTGTCTGACGGGTCGTTGTTCCGCGAGCCACGTTGGTCGGGTGGCTGTGAGCGGCTTGAGTACTGGCGGCTGTGGCTTGACTCGACTGAGACGGATGGAGCCCGGGCTTGATTTACAATCTCTACGGTCTGGGCCATAGCAGCTGTCAGATAGGCTTGTATTTCATCGCGAACTGCTTGAGTTTCCGAGGTATTGGGTAACCGTTGCATTGTCGCCATAGCAACGGCTACGTTGGCGCTTGGAGTCCTGAAGACCTGTTTGTCCCCCACCCTGTCGAAGGCATTGTTGAGGTCACGTGGCTGGACCCTTATGCGTCGTGCCTCCTCTTCTGCCTCGGCTTCAATTTGTCAGCGATTAAACCGGTCAATATTGCGTGGTTCGCGTGCAATCCTTTCCTGTTCCATTTTGCCGACTGCTGGTGGTTCATCATTACTGACCACATTGATCAAATCCCCTCGTCTTGGTGGGAAAGATGGGAATTGTGGGAACCCCAGGGCGTGGTCTGGTATATCCAGATCGTATTCAACGCCTTCATCATCGTGATGCTGGAGCTCATTGTGGACAGAGGCATTGGATGCGATGCCAGACGAAGAGCCAGAGTCACCCTCTGGGACTATGTGGACGGATCCTTCTTGATAATCTTCAATCCGGATCATGTTGATGAAGTTGCGTGGCTTCAGCTGAGGTCGATGTATGAAACATAGATCCGAGCGGCGTTGTACATTATACGCGTAGTTGGAGGCAGCATTTCGCAAGCCGTAAGGCTAGGCCTGGTAGTTCTCTGTTGAGGCTTCATACTCGGAGAGCCGAAGACCCATCGCGGAGGCTGGCCGGCGGCGAGCGGAGCGCCCTTCAGGAGTAGATATGACCACGAGATCTGTACCAAGTCGTGCAGGACGACTGGCCCAACCTGGTCGGGTAGATCTATTATGGGAAGCGGTTACCTGCTCATTAGGCCCACTTTGAATTGAACTTACCAGAGCTAGGGTTTCAGCAAGTTTGGTGCCGACCCGATCGATGGAGTCAAGCAGGTCGGTGTTGTCGATCTGCTTCCCTTCGTAGCGGGGAAGCGGACGACGGGTTGTCGGCGTGGCTGAAGGCGATGCGGGCGTGGTCGGAGCCAGATTCACCATGGTCGGAGCCAGATCCACCGTGGTCGGAGCCAGATTCACCGTGGTCGGAGCCAGATCAGCCGTGGTCGGAGTCGTAGTCGATGCAGGTGAAGCAGCGGTCGACGTAGATTGAATTCGCGCCTCCTCCGTGATCGTGGCGATGAAGTCGTCGGAGCCGGTGGTCCAGGTGATCTGATCGATGGTGAATGTGAGGCCGTTCGTGTAGCCATGAAGCCAGGGATGATGACCATCTTGTTCGCTTGGAGAGCAGTACGCACAACCCCTACCTAGCGTGCCACTGTCGACAAAATATAGTCGGCAGTCTACCCAGGGGTATGCCCAAGGTAGTAGATTGTCGGCAGACAGATGCGCAAGCCACAAACAAGACGGTGACGCAAGGCAGACACGAGGTTTTATCCAGGTTCGGTCGCCAAGAAGGCGTAATACCTATGTCCTGCGTCTGATTGTATTGTTGTATGTCAATGAGAGATGATTTTTAGAGGGGTCCCCTGCCCGCCTTATATAGTCCGGGGTGCAAGGTTATAGATCTGGAAACTAATCCTAGCCAGTTACAATTGCCATAGATGGCCGGATAAGGATTCCTATTCTAACCGACTAGGATCTTGCTTGATCGCCAAATCCGTCTTGACTCCTTGCGTGGGACTCCGAACAGGTTGGCCGGGCCGCGCGTCGTCTTTTGGTGGACCAGACCCTCTGGTCTGGGCCGGCCCAAGCCTAGCTGTAAGGGTATAGGGGTTAATACCCCCACAGATAGCCACGTCTCCCGACTGTTTAAATGTAGCTGTTGCCGCCAACGGCTAACTCGGTCGCGCGCTCAACAGATTCTGACTGGACCCGAAGGTCCCCTGACCGGACTCACCACAAGCCAGAGTCCGGTGCGATCCAGTAAGGATCCAGAGACACCAAAACGTGATCAAACATGTTCGGTCATGCATGACCGGACGTTCCACCACGTCCGCTTGCCACTGCGCGTCGTACCAGCCGAGGAACAGTGGCACAGGCGCATCCGATCCCTAACTGAGCCAGAGTCCAATCGCAACCAGGCCACTGCCCCCTATGACCGGAATTGTCAGCCAACGTCCGGTCACTGCGCTGAGCAGAGTCCGGTCCTACTACCAGAGCAGGCCTAGACCTAGGGTTAGTGACCAGACTCGCCAGGCAGAGTCCGGTCTTGCCCGCCAGTAGGGTCCAATCCCTCTGCTCCTTCTCTGAGTTGATCCAAATCAACTCCAACTACTTCTCCTTTGCAAATGTGCCAACACCACCAAGTGTATAACATCATGTGCAAGTGTGTTAGCACTTTCACAACATTTTTCAAAGGATTACTCACTCAATTCACCATGCCACTCGATCCTAGCAACGATGCAAAGTTAGATCACTCGAGTGACATTAGATGACCGATATGCAAACAAGTTTGCCCCTCTTGATAATACGGCCATCTATCCTAAACTCAGTCATAAACTTCTCTACACACCTATGACTGGTGAAATGAAATGCTCTACAAATATACATTTGCCTTGCGCATTCCATTCCATCTCCTCCGGTGTTGACGCAACACATGCACCAAGCATATCACAAATGATATGATCCACTTCATATCATCACGTGACCTTGTTGGTTCATCGATCTTGGCCTCACTTGCTTTTCGCCGTTGCCTTCGTCCATTGGCGCCAAGTCTTGCTCAAGCTTCACCGCCACGCGGTTCATCGCTCCAAAGCCTCCAACTTGCCCTTCACGGTTGCAACCGGTCCATCAAGCCAAGTCTTGTCTTGATCTTCTCCACCTTAGTCACATGACTCAATGCCATGTCTCATATGCAATGAGCTCCATCATCATATTTGTCAGCGTTGCAACAGATCTAAGCCACCTTCACCGTCATGGCATTAATTTCTCGCACAAGTGTGCCTATGGACTAATTACCTGTGTATCTCACAAAAACATATATTAGGTTGTCACTCAATTACCAAAACCAAATTAGGGACCCTTCAGTGGGTTCGCTCCATTTAGGTAGTTGACCCAACCCACAAAAGTAAGGCCAATAATGCATCATATAAACTGGCCTTAAAGTCTAAAATAGGTCAATAGAGCAGAATCTATTAACTCAATATGTAAGATTGGTCGACGCAGCCGTCACATAATATCCCTTTTTCTTATTTTGTTGGTCTTCTTCGTTTTTCCGAATAAGCACGGTTGATCATAACTTTTGTAAGCATGTCTATGCTTGGAAGTAGATCGAGGAATATCATATTTTGAAAGAGGAAATAGATAAAAATAAAATCATAGTTAACTTGCAAAACTTATTCAATTTGATGAATTGCTAATAACCTTAATGTATTGTCACGATACTTCTCAATCTTTTGTCTCATCTTTTCTACAAGTTTTTTTTTGAGGGACTTTTCTACAAGTATTTGTATGCATAGAACATGATAGCAGAAAAATATTTATGTCGACCCAATCCAATTGGGCCCATGGGGCCGGGTCCAAGGTCAGGGCTGGGTCAGCACATTCTTATCCCTAGTATTAAAAGAAATTATGCCCTAACGAAAGTAATTCTAATTCTGAGTTTTTTGTTTGGATATGTATAAGCTCCTTTAAGAAAGAAAAAAAAAAGAAGAGGCATTACACTAGCAAACAACCAATGTGTATATTGATAAAGTCTGCAAACGAAACGTGAACAAAAAATGTTATGTATTTTTCAATTACTCACTATCTATCTATCGTAGTTCCAGTAGATGGATTGGGTTTTGCTAAAGTTAAAAGAACATCATGTTGGCAGACTTGTTCATCACCCAACCCCTGATCTCCTCCATCATCTTCGTCTGGATGGACAGTGGCCCCCGCGCAACTTTCCAGCACACCTCGTCAACCACGGGAGCGTTGCAGAGCAAGAATTTGGCCAGCGCCCTCTGCGCAACGGTGCACCAGGTTGATCTCCTTGGTCGTCTCCCTCAGACAGCAGGGCACCTCGACGTCCCGCGGCGGCACGACGAGACACGCGTGCGGATTGTACCTGAGCTTGTGCGAAGCGTCGAGCACTTCCTTTTCGACGTAGTACCTGCGTCTTTCCTTCACTGGGTCAGGCTCTGGCAGGAAGAACAAGGACAGCGTCTCCAGCCTCAGGGTCTGCTCCAGGATCCGAGCCACCGTCGAGATGGCCGCAGACGCATCGTCGTCGTAGTCGGGAAGCATCCCGGTTATCTCGAGGTTGCGGAGCCTCGGGAAGCATGGGAAGACTCCATCAAGGCTGACGAAGCTGCGTCCTAGTCTGGCGGACGTGAGGTGCAGCCGCTCCACGCCGGCAAAGAGCTCCATCAGACCGAACACCTCGGCGGCGCGCTCCACACCGCAGAAGTCGAGGGCGCAAAACGAGATCTTACGCGGGGAGTGCATGGTAAGGAACGGCGGTGACGGCGGCTCCGCCGGGATGGCGCCGCGGTACTCGAAGGCCTGCAGCTCTGGCGAGTCAACGTTGACGCTGGCCAGCCCGCGGCAGCACCGTAGGGCCAGCCTGCGGAGGCGCGCGCCGTCGATGGAGAGCTAGGTCAGGTTCCCGCAGGCCTCGAGCGTCAGGTCGACGAGACTCGGGCAGGCGGAATCCAGCCGCTGTATGGTTCCTCTTCGGCCGGTGACCCTTGTCAGATGCAGCGTGTCCAGCGATGGCAGGGCGATTGCCGACGGTAGGTTGATCCAGCAGCCGCCGAGGCGGAGTGCGCGTAGCACGGCGCAGGAAAAGAAGAGGCTTCTCGGCACGATGTTCTTCTCCTCCCCCGAATGGGCTCCTCCTCGTCCGCGGCGGCGTTCCCTTCCGCCATCTTGGCATCATCGGGTCCACCGGAGGCAAGGGCGTACGCCCGTTCGCAGATCGGTTCCGTATCGAGGCGCAGATCGATCTCCAGCGCCTCGGCGGCTCTATGCACGGCGTACGAGAGCCAGCCGTCCACGGCCGTTGTGGCATTGTGCCCGCCGCGGAAGCCGAACTCGTCAATGTTGGTTTGATCTCCCAACCACAGTGGCCCAACGGCCACTTGGGCTTTGACCTCGCGCCCTGATCGAGGGCGCCCAGTCCATCTATGGCTGGCGGGCCCCGTCACACTGCGCATTAAATAGAGGTGGGGTCGACGGCTCTCGGTACGAGGTTCGTCTGAGCCGTACGCCCCACCTAGAAACCCTACTCCGATCTAACAGAGGGGCGCAGCCAGTGACGGGAAGCACCGCCGCCACCACTGCACTGCGCCACCACGGTCTTCACTGCGTCGCTCTCTCTTCTCCGACCGTCGCTGCCTAGCGCAGATCATCACCGGCGAACTAGCCGAAGGCAGGGAGCTCCTCCAACCCCTCCGACGGTCAGATGTTCCTACATTTCCCTTTCTCTCTCTCTGTCTCCTACTTCCTCTGAATCTCTAAATCACTAGTTATCCCAAATAGAAAAGAACTCACCCACTGGATCACTACTAGATGATCCAAAGTATGTAACAATGGTATCAGAGCCAGGTTTACCTAGGCGTGGATCTTGTCAGGGACGAGAAAACGATTAGAAAAGAAAAGATAGGTTAGATCCGGTTCGGATCGAAAGAAAAGAATTACAGAGGGTTCATCGAACTCTAAACCCTAATCGGGCGATAGAAAGAAAAAGAAAGAAGGGGATTCGAATTCGATTCAGATTACCCTAAAGAACCCTAACCCTAAAGAAATTGGACGGTCCGGGGGGAAATCTTACCAGGGCTTCCCCGCCGCCGTCACCACCGCCTCACACGGGATGGAGTACCCACTGTCGGCTAGCTGACGCGTGGGAAGAGAATCAAGATAACAGCAAAGAAAAGAACGGAGCTAGATCCGATTCGGATCGAAAGAAAAGAAATACAAAGGGTTCATCGAATGATTTAAAATCTCTGATAATTATTGCACCAACGTGTTAGAATTTTCAGAGAGTAAAAAAGTACAGTAAAATGGTTTTTAAAAGTATATAAAGAAATTTTGTCAAGTTTCCGCTGCAAAGTTAAAGGTTTATTGTCTTCTAATTTGAAGAGCAGTTATAGTTATTCAGTAAATGATGAAAAGTTTATCCTCCAGTTAAAATTGAAACCAGCTAGAAAAATTTTAATTGGAGGAATAGTCGGTTGATAGTTAAGATAAATTATAACATTGTTATTTTCTGACCAACGTTAATGATAACAATATTATAAGTTTATTTATGAGTTTAAGTTTAAAGCGAAATTATGGTATTGTTATTTTCTGACCAACGTTGATGATAACAATATTATAATTCTATGAATTTTGGGTTTAAAGTTTAAATCTCTGATGAATTTTGCATCAAAGTGACCAATTTTTCAGAGAAAAGATAAAGATCAAGGAATGCTCTTAAACTAGAGAAATGTATTTTCATGTTTCCGCTGCAATAAAGTTGATTGTCTTCTAATTAAATTCGAACCAACGGGAGAATTTAATTTTGAGGAGCAATTCTATGTTTTCAAGATTATTGAATTTCTATACGTTAATTCCGTTTCTGCCCAACGGTGATGTGGAATTAATGTAGAAGAATGATGTTTTATTCTATTTCTGCCCAACGGTGATATAGAATAGAATATAAAGTTTTCAAAGTTTAATGAGCATTATTGTTGAATATTTTTCAGACAAAAGACCTACATGCTTTCATTCTTGAAGGCAGAAAGAGAAATGAGCTGGGTACTTGTGACTCAGATGATGAAATGCCTAAGGGCAAATTATGTATGAAAGAATGCCATTGGTTAAGGGACTGTGTTCTCTTTAAAGAATGGCTTCAAAAGAAAAGAATTCTAGGATATTGATCCAAGAAAAGAGATAGATAAATGAGAGTCTTCATTGAGAAATGTCTTTTATGTACTCTCTGTGGAGAAGAATTTATTTTCAGTTTCACTTATGAGAGTTGTAAAAGTCATATACATGTTTAATTTGACTAATATTGGATTAAACATGTGTGTTAAAGAATATTCAGATTTATTTCTGAATTTGATGATTGAACACGAGCCAATCCTAGCAATTATGTTTGTTCAAGAGAACTATCACGCATGGCGGGAAAAAGTTTGTGATAGTACCCGCATGGCGGGAAAAAGTTTGAGAAAATACCCGCATGACGGGGTAAAGTTGGCATAGTACATATGTTAACCAATCCTGCATGGCGGGAGAGTTTGGCATAGTACTTATCCCGCATGGCGGGAGGAGGATGTGATGATTCATATGCTCTAAAGAAATATCCCGCACATGGAGAGAAGTTTGTGATAGATCTTATGTTATTCTAGTATTTACCGTACACTCTGATTGTGTCATGGTCATAAGTACTCAATAAGTTTGAGAACAAAAGAAAGTTGCATGTGAACCAAGAGATAAGAATAATATGCAAGTGTGACTTGCAGAAGTATTGATAATAATAGACTATGTTGAGTATTGAAGTGTAATGAGGAAAATGTACTCCCATACGAATTTTGTTTGCATGCTGTAATCATGTGGATGAAGTAAGTAATCAAAGTTTCCTCATTCACAAGAGTTCTGAATGTTTCGAAATTGTGGTAGAAAAGTTCATACTACATTTCGAGGGGGAGAAATGTAAGATTAAAAAAGATACTTCCCCATACTTCAGATAAGCAATGCACACTATGCATTGAAGGTAAAAGTGGTCTATAAAAGATGATTGTGATCGTTGAGGGAGTAAGACGATCATAATAACAATACCCCTAAAGTAAAGAAATAGCTAAATTCCTGGACCTTTTTTATAGTTCCGATAGGAAGATAGTATAGTCAGCTAGTATTTATACTGGATGACGCCATATGAGTTTTTAGCAGATTAAACCCAAAATAAGAAATTTGAAGATACACCATCTTTACTGAAGATGGAGTAATCTGGGGGAGCATGGTATGTAGATACCTAAAGCTTGAATAGAAGTGGGATTACATATCCACTACAGTGTTTAGAGCAACAAATTGCTTAATACATGTTGATGTTGTATGACATATACAACACCAGATGTTAGCTCTTAAAGAGGATGAATAAGTAAACAAGGATTTTGTGATACAGGAGGCTATAGAACAATTGTCTTTTGGCAATGAAGAGTAACAATAGCCCCATATGAAAGAAGTGCCACGAGGCCCTAGAAGGTCTCAAAGAATAAGAAAATCAGATATTTCTGGTGACTAAGAAGAAATTCCTCATGGAGCCAAAACAGTAGGCTATAATGGGTCTACATGACAAAGGTGACTCCAAAGGGAATATAGAAAGATACCCAAAGAGAATATGGAAAGCAATAAAGCGCCACTTGTGGTGAAATGATTTACATAAAGAGAAGGAATAGATTATAATGAGCATGCAAGGATTCTTTTATAATCATAATGGTATTAGTGGCACATTACGATTTACAGTTACATCAGAAGGATGTAAAGACACATTCCTCAACGAGGATTTGTATGGAAACGTTTACATGACATAAGTCAAAAGGTTTTGTCATGGAAGGAAAAGAACGTAAAGGGATGTTGCCTAAAGAAATCCATTTATGGATTAAAGTTTGACAGTACAATAAGAAAGTTTGGGTTTTAAAGAGAATGTAGAGGACAATTGTATTTATGCAAAGTTTAGACATGGAAAATTTATTTTCCTAATCCTGCATGTGGGTAGCACCTTACTCACTAGTAGTGGTGTTAAACTACCGTTGGAGAAGAAGCAGTTCTTGTCCTCAAGTTTCAATGAGAATGGTCTTGGTAAAGCATCATTCGTTCCAGGAATTGGAACTTACTGAGATAAAAGGAAAAGGGGTATTAGAACTATCTCAAGTGTATACTTAGAGAAGATTCTAAAGAAATAAAGTATATACGTGAATAAACCTGCGCCTGTTCCTATAGTCAAGGGTAATAGTTTTCGGAACTTTCAGTGTTCCAAGAATAAATGTGAGATCGATCAAATGGACGTCCTATATGCTTCAGCTGTTGGAAGCTTACTAAATGCTTATAAGCAAGAACTTACCCTTACACAGTTCATGTATCCGGGATGTTTTTGGCAGAAGTCCAGTCCAGATGTAGATCACTGGAATGGAGTTGAGAATGTTTTGCAATTGTGCAAAGATTTATAGGCCTCATGGTGAGTAAGAAAGAATAAGTACTCTCAAATAGTTGTGGGTACAAAAGTTAAATTTTGGCGAGATGTTTAGTGAAACCCACATAGTAGCTAACACTCGCAGTTAGAGTTTTATTGTGGAAAAGCTCCAAAGAAACAGTTGTGGTGTCATCAAAGATGCATACCCATGGTATAGCTTGTTATGAGGCTTAAGGACAGGCGAAGTGGTTAAAAGAACTTACACCCGGAATTGATAATGGTATGTAACAGCAATAACCATTTAAGTAGTTCGCTCCTATAACAACGGGTCAAG